ACCTGAGCTGAAGTCGGACACTTAACCGACTGAGCCCCCCAAGTGCCCTATATGCTTTTTTAAAATAAAAGGAACAGTTACAGATGGCTTTCCTTTCGTCAACTTCTAAACTTAAACATTTTAATCAGTTTATGACTTTACCCTCCTTGTGCCATCCTCCTCCTGTCTCAGGCCATTCAGTCTCATAAAGATTATTATTCCACAGGGTTCCATAGACCGTAATGTCCTGAGATCATGACCAAGGAAACAGTCCATTCAATATTAAATCACAATCTTGCAACTATGCCCTATAAAGACTTTAACATTTTTTTTTTTTTTTAATTCTGGTCTAGCAACTTGTAGAATACCCTGTATCACTTCATGCAGTAAACATTAATTGGATGCCTACTGTATGTCCCGTGCATCAGAACATATTGAGTCTCATTTCACATCTTCATAAGACAAAACAGAACATCTGGGATTCCTTTGGCAAGTACTGCATAGTAACACATAATACTGACCTCTGCACAAGGCGTTCACATTATAAGGATATTATGGGAAGCATAAAACATTCAGAACCAGATCCTCCGAGCTATTAAAACTACTTAAATACGGCATCAGTTCTTAAGTTACCTAATTTAAAAGTAGCTGAACCTAAGAAAATGATTGAGTCCATTAAATATTACATTAAGTGATAGCACTGCTCTCCCACTGCTGTAGTTCAGGTTGTGTCCGTGCTTCATGACAACTGCCTTCTTTATGAATTCCTGAAGAATGCACTCCAAGTTGAAAATTGTCATACATCTCAGTTGCTAGAATCTATCTGTTTGACAACTTCACCTGCGCCCCACTTGGCCCCTTATTCAAGTAAGCTTTAAAAGGGTATCTGTTCAAGAGCAGTGGCGGGATGGTAAACAGCCTGGGCTCAAATGCCAGCTCTGCCCTTAGCAGCTGTGGGGCCTGAGTCTTGTATTTAGGCCCACTTAGCCTCATTTTTTCCTCTTCCCCTAAATAGGGATAATAATAATAATACCTACTTTACCCACTTATTTTCCCTCTGAAACGGGGGGGTTGGGGGGGTGGGGAGAGGAGGGTGGCTACCAGAATTAAGTGAGTTAATAATAGGAGAGCTCTTTGGACAGCGTCAGGAACATCTTAAAGGTTATGATAAAAGCTTCTTAAACAAATTGTTCCAAAAAGTTGAATACGCTCCAATTTTTAACATCAAAGTATTTGAGTATTTATAAATACCATTCTTAAGATCATGCTAACTTCACAAAACATATCTGCCACAAAGGAGAGCCTCTTCCTATTATTCAAAGTTATTGGACAAATCATAGATATATGCAGAAACATAAATATATAAAGATATACTCCATATGTACACTTATGAGTATATATGCATATATGTATACAGAAGCATAGGTACACATATGAAACTTAACCGCCTCCCGTGCACAATCTAGGTGAAGTGGGCTAAAGGCAAAGCAAGTCTTCAACCATTAGTTAAACTGACATTAAAAAAAAAAAACTGACACAGTTTTCCTTCATAAAACTTTTCAAGAAAATGGAAAATAATCCATTGTACCAAATGTTAATTAAGACATGATAATGGAACTTGCATAGAAGATCTATAGGGGTTCATTTATCCTGCCTATACATTATGTGGATCTCCAGATATAATCTTTTGCTTCTACTTTTGTTAATGTTACCTGCTCTGAAATGTTTTTGACTTAGATCAGTGGCTTTTAAATGCAGTTATAAATATCTTGCTTTAATTGTTTTTCTGCTGTAAAGGTTAGGATAACATCACGAGTCTCAGAAATAAATACTGATTCTAGAGTGAGCAAAATATATCAACAATTAAATGAGATCCTGGCGGGGGGTTGGGGGAGTTACTCTTTTGCTGGTTCTAATGAATTCATATTAACTTTGCAGAAAAATTAAAATGTAGGGTTTTTCTAAATAGTAGCAATTTAGGTCGTAACAAAGTTTAACTAGCTACTTTGGTTTTGAAGTCCCCCTCCCTACCAAAACAGGACAAACCTTGAATGAAGATAAATCTGTCGTTTGAATAAATAGTCTCTGAACTTGACCTGTTCTCTTCTTTCAAGCTATTTATCTTTTCTGAAAACAAACTATAATTCTATTACCAAATAAGAGCTCCTCACTTAATTGTACCAACTACAGAATATGAAAATACTTGAATAAAGTATTACAAAGAAATCCAAAAAAAATGTCAGGCATATAAGGGCCAATAAAATATACGACTATTCACATATATAATTTCAGTGGCACAAATCTAGTGTTACTTCTAACACTCTATTCCCAGGGTTGTTAGCATCATTTTTAGCAAGCATTCTCTCCTCTGCCAGCTCCCTTTACTAGGAAGTTATCTTGAGAGTTATTTCATTCAGGAATGAACGTCCCTAAAATAAAAGACCATCCTGCCAGACATGTCAAGACAGCCAAAGAAAATTCTCCTCGACTGAAATTTCCATAAGAGGTTTCCCTTTTTCTAAACACTCTTAAATAACCTTTTATTATTATTATTATTATTATTATTAACCTCTTTGACATGTTACTGCATTATTGAGAGCTGTTACTGTTTCTGAGATTACACAAACAAAGAGAGGAGAAAAGGAGCAAATTGTTTGCTGTGTTGTAGGAATTTGAGTTCACTTTTTCAATGCAACAGGAACATTTGCATGTCCTCATAAATGAATACTAATGACATGCAGATCTGGCTGCTCCATAGAAATCACACATAGAAAGCTAGAGCAGTGCACAGGGAGTTACATTTCTCCAAAGTATTCACACAAAGAGCAAGAAGATTAAAGTCAGCATCAATTCTCTGAAGTTGAGTCATATCTAAATGATGTGGTGGGTTAAGAATGAGGGTGGGATTTATGGTGAAAGCAAAGTTGGCTAGTTAACATCTTGTATGCTTTTTGAGTCAACAACTCTTTGTTGACCACCTACTTTGGGCAAGATGCCGCTTCCCTAAGTAAGCCACTGCTCTGCAGTTCCTTTACAGGGTGTAGGAGTAAGCATCCTGCTTCTACCGAAAATCCTCCCTTTTTATTTAAAATAACATCCAGCCCAGCTTTGCCTCTGTGTGCTCCTGTGCTCAATAAATACTTCTTGAACGAGTGGAAATTCAGTGAGTAAGAAGGTTATTCATTCAAAAACATCTGTGTCTGCCTGCAAAATGGTCAGGACAATGATGGAAGCATAATCAAAACACTGTAATCAAAACACTGTAATGAACACCTTCTCAGAAAGGTCCAAAAGGGAGCAACTTCCAGTATTAAAATCTAAGCAGGAGGTCCAGCTTCACCTAGAAATCATGATCCTAGTACTTCTGTGACACCCCATTAAATGCTATGCTCATAATTTCCCACGTAACCTGATTTAGGCATCTATTTGAAAATATTATTTTACATCATTAAATATGTTTCTATGCATTTTAGTAACTGAAAAAAGAATACTTTAAAAATACTCTGGAGTAATCTGGAGGGGGGGAGAGCAGTTTTCCATTTCACTGTTCAGTCTCTGAGAGGCAGTTAAATTTAAACAACAGTTTCCGTCCATCACTAGGTTGTGTGCAATATCTTCCTGCCTCTAGTTCACTGGTGACCGACTTCACATTCCTAAGAATCCCTCCTCATGCTCCTCCAGTCACTTTAAGCCAGGACCATTTGTAAACAAACAAAGGGAGTAAGGTTTGGAGTACTTTTTCATTTCTCCCGTTAAGAGCTTCCCTGGGAGAAACCACTAAGGTAACTTTTAAGAATCTGCTACAACATCATTGAGATCAATAAAACGTATTTTTAAAAACAGCTTTGATATCCAAATTTGTAATCTCTTTTCTTACCTTCATTTCAACTTTTCCTTGGACTGGACACTGAATAAATTTGAAATAAATTGTCACGTGGAAACATGGGTTTAAAGCTTTGAAATACGTCAAAACTACTGAGCAAAAGCTTTCAGAAGAACCACACATAGTACTTGGAGCAAATCTGTTTAGAAAAGGGCACCTTTACAGAAAGGACGCTCACCCACTCTCGCTCACGCCCAACCTGACCCTGTATGCTATTTATCAGACTAAGTTTACATAAATCAGAGAAGAGTTACAGTGCAATTAAATGTAGCCACGAAGTAATATGATATAAAGCACTTTGCAAATATTAAACCTCCCCTTAAGGGATCAATGTTTTCCATGAAGAAGGTGGTATTGGGAGGAGGGAGGGAAAGAAGGAAGGGATGGAGAGGGAGAGACCGACCCACCGGGTGAGGACTGGGGAAACCACGGATCTGAGCAGCAGCCCCTTTGGGCGGGCACCCTGAAGCACGCCAAGAGAGAAGCTGGAGAACGGAGCCCAACAGGGTGAAGTGACTCCGGAGCTGAAGCGGAGGACTGCTCGCTGTGCACCCGGAACCGCCGGGTAGAGGCGTCCACAACAGTCTGCGCGCTCCTCGGGGCGCTCATTCCCCAAGTCCCCAAACCAAGGCGACCACCCAAGTCCCAGGAGCAGGGGTCTCTGCGCTCCAGTCAGAAGGCACAGCGACCTCGCGCACCCCTGAATAATGCGACCGCCCCCTCGATTGCATCCAGCTCGCGCGCGCGCGTGTGTTGGGGACTCGTGAGTGGGATGGGTGGCGGGGTCTGGGGCTGCGAGAGATGGGGGCCGGCTGGGGCGGAGATCGCACCCGACCCAAGTTAACTGAGCCTCTGCCAGCCCCCCGCTCCGGCCTTGCAGCCCCCCAGTCTCCCGAAGCCGTCTCGCGCTCCAAGCGACAGCCCCACAGCCACCCGGGGAAGTGGCTGGGCGCGAGGCCCCAAACTCTGCAGAGCGCAGTTTACCCGTTTCCTCCCTGGCTCCCTCAAAGAGAGCCCAGCGCGGGCTGAGACTGACCGACTGACACCTACGACCCTCTTAAATTTACCCCGGGAATCGCCCCGCCGGTTCCCGTCTCGCTCTAGTTTAGCCCCGAGCCCCAGGGAACGTCTCGAAAGTCTACCCCCGGCAGCACCCAGGAGAACCGCGCCCCCAAAGTGGTTTCGGCTGGCACCGCACGGACGTCGCCCTTGGGCGACTCCCCTCCCGAGTCAATTCCTCCCGAAATCTACGAGCTTTCAGCCCGCTGCGCCCGAGCCCCTCCCCGGCGCGAGGCGGGCAGCTCGCCCTGCTCACCTTCGTCCCGGGCGCGGCGGCGGGGGCGGGGGCGGGAGCCCAGGGCGCGGGCGCCGGCCACGGGTCGCGCCGGGCCACCGGTCGCTCCCTCAGTCTCCGCGGCAGTTGGTCCAGTAGTTTCGGAAGCCCGGGCTCCGGCTCCGCGGAGAGCGAGTCGGCGTGAATGGGAGCGAGCGACCGCGCTGTGCGTGCGCGCGTGAGAGTAAGAGGCGGGCGGGCCCCACACGCGGGCAGCGGCGGCGGCTGCTGGGTCCCGGGCGGGAGCCGGAAGGGGGAGGAAGCGGGCGAGAAGTAGTGGAGTTTAGGGCGCGTTTCCTGCACTTCGCCGGGAGGCTGGGGCCAGGTGCGGCAGGGCGCGCTCCCGCGGCGCAGGCACGGCACGGGCAGCCGCCGGAGCCCGAGTCCACGCAGTGCCCGGGCCCGCAGCCGCTCTGCGGGAGGAGGTGCGCATCCTCCTTGCCCCACGCGGGCACTGGCGCGGCTCCGGACTCTGAGAGCCAAGGGGAGAGCCTCCGGTGTCCTCGGTGACAGCTCCTTGGGCAGCCTGCTCCCTCCCGATCCGCCCAAAAGAGCAACAGTCAGGGCGGCTGGGATCTTCCCTTCCTGGGTCTCGGAGCCGCGGTGCCAAGCGGTGCCGGCGCCCCGCTCCCCGCGGCTGGCGCTGTCACGGCCGCCGCCCGGCCCCCGGCGCGCCCGAGCCGGCAGCTGCCTCCCGGAGACGTGCCCAGCTGTGTGCGCGTGTGTGTGTCTAAGCGAATCTCTTCCCCTCCATCACTCGGTGCGCGGGAGGGACCGGGTCCCCGGCGACCAGCTGCAGAGTGGCTGCCAGTCCACACCCTCCCGCTCTCTCCCCACCCACCCCGCCCCTACTCCTCGCCCTCCGCCTCCTCCCCGCTGCTCCTCCTCCAGCAGGCGCTCCCGAGCTCCCAAAGGCGGCGAGAAACCGCAGCGAAAGGGGCGGAGAAGGGTGGGGAAGGAAGCGCAGGTGTCTTCAGTCGAAAGAGGGGCGCTCACACCGGGGCGGCTTGCTGAAGGGGGAGGGCAGGGCTCCGGCGGAGAAGGGGGAGGAGGGGATTTACCCCGAGGCCGAGGTCCTGCGGCCGAGCCGCCGCCCATCCCACCCGGGCGCGGGAGCTGCGGGCCGGCGAGGCGATGGGGAGGGGGGCGCGCAGGGCTCCCCCGCCGACTGAGGCCGAAGCTTGGGGAACCCGCAGAAGTCACCAGGGTGGCAGAACCTAGGAACTTAGAAGTCGGAAGGACCCAATGTCTGAGGAGCTGAGACCGGTGTCCCTAGGGTGAGGGCCCTAGACGCGGAGCTTGGGGCACACAGGTGTCCAGGGAGCTGGCCTGTGGCTCTAGGTTGCCTATCAGGAGAGCTGGAGGCTGGGAGAGGGGTCGGGCGGCGGCGGCGGCCGTTCTCAGACTGCTGTATGCATCCGGAGTCGCAGGGGGCGATCACCGCCAAGCTGGGAAGCAGAGGTCGTCGCTCAGCCTTTTTTTTTTTTCCGAGTCCAAATCCCAAAGCCCGAGAGGCACACTCGCCTTCCCCACGCGGTCTGTCCTGTCCCTCTTCCCTTTGCTCCCGGCAACACGGAGGGCCACGGAACTCGAGGTGCTGTTTACTGTGCCCTTTGCTAGATCGAAGGGATCCCACCAGATCCAGGCTGGTGTGGTGCTGCTTCTCTCTCAACTGTAGTCCCCTCCCTTAGTATCTATGGCCACCCAACCAAAATTTCCTGAAAAACTAATACCTTTCTTATTGACAAAGTTTTTTTTTTTTCCTCTCTCTCTCTCTCTGGAGTTTCCTTTAAACAAACAAACAAACAAATAAATACACCTCCCCCCCCCCCCTTTGGCTGCTGAGGCATTAGGTCTCTCGCTAATTCCATAGTACAAATGCAACACACACTAAAGTCTTAGTCGAGAATCACGCATTATTGCTTCTGACGGCTTGTCTGTTTTCAAATGACAGTCACAGAATGCAAAGTTGAGTCAACCTGGGGGTCAGTGGAGAGGATTGTCCATTTAATTACAGGTCTGTTAGAATGATCACTGGCAACAACACCAGAAAGAACAGGGGTGCTTTCTCCGGTATCCCTTTCTTTTTATATGGTAATTTCACACTGTTAATTCAGGCCATCTGAAAATGAAAGGTCGGATGCAATTGACAAGGCACAATATTTCTAGATTCTCCTTCAACAGCCAGCCCACCCCCCTTTCCTAGCCTTCCTCTTTTACCGTCACTTTGAAAGCTCAGGAGCTGGGATCTCAAACTGCACTTTATTTAAATTTCAGGAGACTGCCTGAAGGACAAAGCTGCTGAGTTCTAGAAAGAGATAACTTAAATGCAAGTAAACTTATTTACCAACTACTCACACAGAATCAGAAGCTCAGCAGCAACAACAGAATGTATATTGTTTAATATATTGAGCAGGAGGAAAAATGGCTGTTTGCCAGATATGTGATCCATTAACCTCTTTAGCTCATTGTTGGCAACAATAGCATACAATCACATTCTTATGTTTGAAAGACAAGGGATTGTTTTTTTCCCCCCATCTCAAAATCACAATGCCACATTATAGTCTAAAAGAAACCTCAAACAATAAAAGTAATAAGAAAGGAAGGAACACAATTGGCTTTTTTTTTTTTTTTCTGAACAAACGTCGCTGTTCTGTTTTTCTTGAGGGGGAAAAATGCTGATAGGCAATAAACTCCACAAAGGCATGACAATAGATTTTGAAGAATGCCTCCCTCCCTCTATCGGTCCTTTCAATTAGTAAACTTTATTTAAAATGTTTGTATTATCTTTTTATTGGTATTCATTCTTTCTTTTGTGCTGGGAAGATTACTGAGAAGGATGATGGATTTGAGACAAATCTGGATTCTCATAATTCTGTCTTGCTTCAGGTTTATGTCTGGCAGAAGAGGAACATTCAGCAGCCTGTGCTTCTCAGCAGTCCTAACTTCTCCTCGGAGGATCCTTGGCTGGGTAGCTGATGGACTGCAAGATTGTCCAGTGGTTTTGCCTCTCTTGTGCAAGATCACAACTGGGGCTGGCAGCAGCTACAGACCCAGAAACTGAGAAGCAAAGCTCTAGAAAGGGTTTCTACCTTGCCTATGGTTGGAGTGTTAGATCGGGGTATTTGCACTGTTTTGTGCGCTGGTCTTCACTTCCCACAGACATTCTGGCCTTCCTGCTGTCTAGATAAAGTGCAGAGATGAGTGGTTGGGGTCTGTCATATTTAATAGTAACATTTTGGTACCGTGCTAAATTAAAACTAAGCACTGGACAAAGTGGCATCCAAAAGATCTTTTTAAAATGCGGTTTTGAAAACAGTCCTAGAGTCTGGTTTGGTTTAGTTGCCAAAGCCAAATAAAGTGCACAGTAATGAAAACATTTGGTTAATTCGAGTGATCATTTGGTAAAGAACTTTTTTTCTGAGCATCATCACCCTCTCTTGTCTCATAAAGACGCAACCGTTAAATATTGTGCAGCTTATAGTTTTAATGGAGGCAGAGCCCCTCAGTTAAAGCATGAAAGTGTTTGTCATTATTAGGCAAGAGGGGATAGCTGACTTATTTTCCAATATCCATTTGGTTTTCTTTTTAACTAGCCAATCACTGACATCTAGATTCACTTGGATTAGCAAATATTCATTCAAAGGACCCCTCTAGGGGCCAACAACCAGAAACTGAAAGATGAATAAAATCTCCCCCTCAGGGGGCAAACTCAGTAATCACTAGAGTTATCAGCTATACATCTGGTGGACCTGGGGTCCTTCCCTTGTATGGAAATAAGCCCACGCACCCACATCTTCATACGCTATCACTGTATTTGAGCATCTCTTCCGTGAAAGTTGTGGTTTTCGTGTTATGCTATGGTATGTTTAAGTGGTTGGAAGGCTGAAATGATAAGGCCACGTGTGATTGTTGAAGAGGTGGGCCACAGGACAGGTGCATAAGCTATGAAGATGGTAAAGAGGATTCAACCTCTCTCAAGGTTTAGACCTGTGCCGGCCAATAGAAGTATGATGCCAGGCAGGAATGTGGGCCGTAGATGCAATTTTAAATATGCTATAGTTAAAAAAGTAAAAGAAACAGGTGACATTAATTTCAATAATGTGTTTTATTTAAGTTTACATATATTTTAGATATTTCAACATATGAGAAATATAAAAAGTATTAATGAATTTTTTTTTTTTTTAAATTATGATAGGCAGAGTAGCTCCCATATCCTAATCCCTGGAACCTGTGCATATGTTACATTACCATGGCAAATGGGACTTTGCAGAGGTAATTAAGCTTATAGACCTTAAAATAGGGAGATTATCCAGGATTGTCTGGATGGACCCAAACTAATAAGATGAGTTTTTAAAAAGCAGACAAGAGGTGAAAAAAGAAGTCAGAGAAATTTAAAACCTGAGAAGGATTCAACATGCTGTGGCTGGTTTAAGGGTGGAAGAACCAATATGACAAGGAATGCAGGTGGCCTTCAGGATCTGAAAGAGGCTTCCTTCTGATAGCCAGCAAAGAAATGAGACCTGCCCTACAACAATAAGGAACTGAATGTGGCCAACCACATGAATGATTCCGGAAGCAGATTCATCTCCAGAGCTCCAGAGAAGAATATAGCCCAACCGATATTTTGATTTTGGCCTTCTGAGACTCTAGACAGAGGGATCAGCTGAGCCATGCCGCACAACTTCGGGACCACCGAAATGTGACATAATAAGTAGGTGTTTTATAAGCCACTTCGTTTATGGTGATTTTTTTACAGCAGCAGTGGAAAACTCATACACATACTAAATCTCAAAATCTGGGATGTATTTTACACTTACAGTCCATCTCAATATGGATTGGCCATATTTCAACTATTCAGTGTGGTGAATGGCTGCCATATTGGACAGTGTCCAAGTCTAGACCAAGAGAAATCAAGATATCTAAGAAGTGCTAGGTTTGTAATCTAGATATAGCATCACTGTGTGGAGAAAGAAAAGGAGCAAGGAAGGGAGGAACTTAGCAAGATCTCTCTTGAGTCTCCATCCTTGGCCTATGGGAACGAGGTGTTCTTGGTGTAGAGAAAGTAGGCTACATTTTACAAGTCAGATTGTCCAAATTCATTGTACTTGGATAAATTTGCTTTATTAGTAGAGACTGTTAATAAAGTCTTTTTTGAATATTTCATCTCTGTCTCAGTTAAGTTTTGGAGCAATGAAGAGGAGTTGTTGCTTCCATTTGAATTCATGCTTAAGGCAGAGCATCAGTCATTTAATTCTAGTAATAGGGGTGGGGAAGGGCAGGTAAGAGTAACTGTAAAAGATCTCCAGGAGAAGAATTATGTGGATTGATTTAGCATGCCTAGGAAGGTTGTTCCTCCCTACCAAGAAATTGCTTTTCAATATGAAACTTCTGAGGATCTACCTTTTGTTTTCATTAAGAAGGGCAGCATGTTTTCCAATTCTAATTGCATTCCATGTTTAATTTTCTAAAAGCAGATTTTACCATCTTCACTGACAGGTAAGCATGTAAAAAGTAGAGCAGAAACTCTAGTATAAAATCTAGAGCAGAAACTAATCATATTTCTGGGACAAATGAAGCAGTGCAAAAGGGATGTTATATCAGCTATTAGCAGGTATTACCCTAGAACCGGTTCAGATTAGAAGAGTTAAATAGGAATTCCTATTGTAGAACTTCTTAGAGATTTTAGTATGCTAACGTGCGTTGTGAGGCTCTAATTATGCTGCACTTGCAAATATTATTTGACTATGGCACTTTCTTGAAGAACTAGTGATATATTGGAGACATTTTGGGAAACCACGGGCTAGAATATTCTGGAACCAGAAGAAGATAGAAAGATACTTAGACAAATAACCAGTGGGAGAAGCAATAGTCCCAGAATCCAGCCAATTCAGACTTCTATTACTCTACTGTAATAGGAGATGGGTTTAATAGTTTGAGGACTAATAATATTGAATTCCACTTTATCCCTGTGTCCCCCAAATGCATAATGCTTGATACATGGAGTCACAACACAACAGAGTGAACAGTGACAAAAGTCCTTTATCAATACGAAGTCACTAGCAATCTCTACAAGGACAGTTTCAAAACAATCGTGA